ATCATGAGATTCCACAAGGGAACACTCCATGATAGAATCCACGACGAAATTGAACAAAAACGGGGAAATCGGACAACCCTGACGAACGTCACTTGTAGTCGGAAAGCTATCCGATAGGGCACCATAGACCCTGACGCGGCCTGTAGTGTTCGAGTATAGAGCACGAAGGATGTTTACATATTTCGTGGGAACACCTTTTCGCGCAAGTAATTCGAACAGAATCGATCGATCGACTGAATCGAACGCACTCTTGAAATCGAGGAACACAGCTATTGTCGGTCTGCGGTATGCGTGGCGCTGCTCCAGCACCTGCCGCAAAGTGAATATATGGTCTATACAGCCACGTCCTGGGCGAAACCGGCCTGCTCTTCCCTAATCCGAGATCCCTGTTCTGCAGTGAGGCGACGAACGAGAATCGAGGCCAGTAATTTTGTCACAACTGGCGTTAGGCTAATACCTCTGTGGTTCGAACAGTCTGTGCGACTGCCCTTCTTGTATATTGCCACTATAATCGATTCGCTCCAATTAGCCGGCACACTCTCTTCGTTCCAGATACGTTCAAATAAGGAGGTCAGTGCCCTGCAGAGGACCTCACCTCCATCCTTAAATAGTGCAGGTGGGAGGGAATCCGGGCCAGCGGCACGAAAACGATTGAGGGCTGTGATCCCGTTTCGGACCTCGGCCTCTGACGGAGGCTCTAAGCTAACCGTCCATGGCTCGTCCTGCATCACCTGAGTAGGAAGAGGTCCGGGAGCAGGGGGCCAGCTGAACTGATCTTGAAAGTGTTCCGCCCAACGAACCATACGACGCTCCTTATTGTGTATCAGCGCACCCGCGCTGTCCCTGATTGTCTCACTGACGCCTGGTTTCCTGGGACCAGTGGTGCGGATTATCTGGAAGAGCTTGCGGTAATTGCCTATTGCTCCTGCCTCCTCCATTTCTCGAGCCTGACTGGTCCACCAGGCTTCCTTGTCAGCACGTAGGCTCCGCTTTAGTTCACGTCTAATAGCCCGTCTGGTCACATTGTGTTCAGAACCAGCCGGGAGGTGTCTTCTAGCTTCCAACAGGTTCACGGACCTCTCGGATATCCAGGGACTGGTGCGATGACGACTGATAGTGCCACAAACAGATGCTCCTGCGTCGTGCATAGCGGCCGAGATTCTATTCCACTGAAGTTCAGTGTCATTAGGACAATACAGCGAGAGTTCGCTATGCAGTGCTTCTTGATAGGCTTACCTGACCGAGGACTGAGACAATTTCTCCGTTGCCAATCGGAGGAGACGCTTGGTGCGTCTCCCTGTAAAGTTCATGGAGAAACGACAGCGTACCAAGGCATGATCAGAGTCGACACAGGTACTCCAGTACGAGCGGCAATCCAGAATGGTACCGCGCCACCTGTAACTTATGGCTATGTGGTCAATTTGGGTCCATCGCTGGCCAGCTACAGGTGGACGCCAAGTGGCACTTCGGCGCCCACTGTGTCTAAAAGCAGTGCTACTAAGAAACAACTGGTGCTCCGCACACAGTTGCAGCAGACGCTCGCCGTTGTCAGTCCGTTCGGAGTTAAGTCCATACTTACCACCCAGCTGAGCTTCTGAAGAGCTCAGATGCCCTACTTGTGCGTTCATATCCCCTGCAAGTACTATAATATCTGAACTAGTAGCACTGCGTAGCAGCGTGTTCAATTCGTGATAGAAAGTGTCCTTGACTGCATTAGAACTGCAGTCAGTGGGAGCATAAACGGAAATCACAAACAAACAGCGTTTTGTTTTACTTCGCGAATATCACCTTAGCTGATGTCGTCAAACGGGCTGCACATAAACGGCTGTTCACCGGAATCCAATCAACCAACGATGACTCAGCATTGCAGCTGAGAATGATACCAACACCAGCTTGACCCGTGAGTGCCGCATCGGCGTCTCCGGATGCGTGCAACCAATAACGAGAGGATAAGCCGAGTGCAGTTAATTCACTAACCCCGTTAGGGTCATTAATCCTAGTTTCGGACACACAACACACATCAACACCCAGTGTGTCCAAGGTGCGTGCGAGTGCAGCCTGCTGACCTGTTTGTCTTAGAGTGCGGACGTTGAATGTCGCCATGGAAACGGGACAGCGTGGCCTCATAAGGGACTTTTGCCGATAGGCGTCCGATAGGTGCTGTGGGATGGTGGCTGCAGACGGTACTACTCCAGTAGCACTTCGGTTGCTGTCAATTAAGCTGGGAATTATAGAAGGAAGGTTAGTAACAGGGGCCGGGATGGGAGTAAGAGAAAAAGGTGGAAAATAAAGAAGGGAGACGCCAGCAGTAGCATGTTTTCGCTTATCCGCCCTGCTGTATGCAGCAGATAAGGCGACCCTTGATAATCTGCACGACGGCCGATGCAGGATGAAGTTTATGTTTGAAGAAAATGTCATGGTTGTATGTGGGCTGGGATACTGCCAGGGCGCCCAGACCCAGACAGGAGGACGATTAGGGTCCTCATCCAAAGCCTTTGGCTCAAAAGCCTGTCCGCAAGGCAGCGGAGTGGCAGTGATTTAGTTTTACAGAACTGGACGCCATCCAATTTCAAACCCCCAACCTGGAGGACCATGAGACTGAGTTTGTCTGACCTCTCATCATTGACCAACCTGGTAGGAGTAGCTCTCAAGATGCTCGGAGGCATCACCCAGTATAGCTCAATGGGTCAGTGAGGTACGCAAACTGTCGCACCACGTTAAGGTCCAGTCTCGTTGCGACGGACCATGCATGACTCAGTTCTTGCAGACTATTCTGGAGTGGAAGTTCTGCCAGGCGACCGACTGACAAACCTGGAGTATGCGGACAACATAGTTCTCCTTGGGTCTGATGCATTAATTATGCAAGCACTGCTCCACAGACTTGTGCATAGCGCTGCACGCTTCGGCATGTGTGTTGCACCTTCAAAATGCAGAGTGCTGTCGCAGAACCAGGCCGACACACCTTCGGTTTTAGCTATTTCCGAACAGGCACTGGAAGTGGTGGATCGGTTCATTTACCTTGGTAGCTGGTGGTCACATCACTGAAAAGGTTGCTCCATAATTATCATCATACACGTTAGCTGCAGGTGGAAAGCACCTCAGCTATTGTGCCGCAATACTAAAGACAAGAAAAAATAAAACGGTGGCACGCCGGATGCGTCCCCAGTAATAGATGGACATCGTTCCGGAGAGCTAACAACCGGCTATCGTGCCATAAAAAGAGTTATACTATGCCTAGCGAATGTGCTCGTGATTGGAGGGAGGCTAAGTAGGAGGGGATAGACAAAGGAACTCACAACACAAACGCCATTGGAGCCAACTCCTAGCCATATCAGCATGTGTTCAACCAAACATGTTCATCGTCCTTAGGACCCCAGCCATGCAGTCGGGATGCACCAACCGACGCCAACTTTGAAGTAAGGGTTTTCGTTTCTGTCGGCCAAGTCATCGCTTGGCCTCCTCTCCTCCTCTTCCAGTCGCACCCTGGCGCTTAAACAATGCACGTTGCGGGAATCGGTGTGCTGGCATGCTCAACACGTGGCCCAGCCATCGGAGCCTGGTGCGTGATATAATGGTGCTGAGCGGTTCACTCACTCTTTCTGCACCAAATATGCGACGCCGAACACGCTCATTGCTCACGCGGTGCTCCCACCCGCCATGAGCTAATCTACGAAGACAGCGATGATCGCATGTGACGAGCCTCTTTATGTCCGTTGACCTGATGGACCAGGTTTCAAAACCGTATAAGAGGGTTGAACGGATGCCAGCTTTATAAACTCTGCCCTTCAGGGCGAGAGTAATGTCGCGTCTGCGCCACAGGTGGCAGATTGGCAAAAGCATCTCGAGGTTTTGCTATACGGTTCGTAACCTCATCTTCGATCCCACGGGCGCCAGTATGGCTGCCCAGGTACTTGAGTTCCTAAACGACTTCTAGCTGATCACCACCAATGGTCAGCTCACGGGTAGGTCTTTGCCAATGTTGACAGAACTTTGCATTGCCATGGAGCAAAGCATAGCCCAAAACAATAGACAGCCAGTGCTAATCGGTCCAGTGTTGCTTGACATGTTTGGGAGCTGTCACAGATTAGGACAATATCGTCCGCGTACTTCAAGTCAAGAAGTCGCTCACCATGAAGTAGCTCCACACCTAGGTCGTGTCCAGCGAACGCTGTTTCCATGACTTCATCAATAGCGAAGTTGTAGAGAAAAGGTGACAGCGGGCAACCTTGTCTCACACCGCTAGTGATATTGAAGGGTGGCGACAGTTTGCCATAAACCCTCACTGTGCCCGAACTTTGCGCGTACAGCGCTTTGATGATGTTTGCATATTTATCAGGCACACCTTTCCTCAGCAGACATTTCCAAAGTGCACATCGATCGACTGAGTCGAAGGCACTTTTATGTCAAGAAACACGACAGCGGTGGGTCGGCAATAAACATGGTGGTGCTCCAACAACTGACGCAAAGTGAAGGTGTAGTCAATGTAGCCACGACATCGACGAAACTCGGCTTGCTCTTCACGAATCTAGCTTTCACTAGTGCCAGTCAGTCTGTGAAGAATGACAGAGGCATGCAATTTGGAGACGATGGAGATCAGACTGATTCCTCTATGGTTGTCGCATTCCGATTGTGAGCCTCCCTTGAAAATTGGGACAATCACGGAGCGGTTCCAGCCTGTCGGGACAGGCTCCTGCTCCCGAAGTTTCATTAGAAACTCGTGTAAATCATCTATTAGAGCAGATCCCCCGAATTTGAAGACGGCTGGGGTAATTCTATCTGACCCTGCGGCCTTATGCAATTTCAACATCCTGATCTCACGCTAGACCTGCGTGTGAGGGCGGATCCAAGGAGACAGGCCAGGGAGGGCGCTCAGTGCCCGACGAAGAAAGCGATAGCAGGTTTGTTGAATTGCCTTGCAAAGTATTCAGCCCAACGCTCCAAGCGTTTTGATAGGCTGTGGATCGGCTGTCCACTCTCGTCGCGTATGGTCTCGCTTACAGCAGGTCTCTTGCTACCTGTTCTCCGTATCAGACGGAATAACTTAAGACGATTACCAACGGTAGCGGCTGTTTCCATCTCCGAAGCACGATGAGACCACCATGCTCTGCGGTCTTTATCCAGACTAGCACGCAGTTTTGACCTGAAATTTTTGCGAACCTCATTGTATTCGCTTTCAGCCGGAATAGCTCGGCGAGTATCCATAGGTTCCAGAGACTGTGTAGATACCCAATGTCCAGTTTGGCAGTTTGATTTGCCACATGAAGACATGCTTGCTGATAGTAACCTTTGGGAAATATGCGACCAGTGATCATTGACTGTGTTCAGTGGGCAATTATTCAGGCCGGGATGTCAGCGCACTTTGCTACACACTTAGAACATCTGGCTTCGCCAGCTGGCTAATGTCAACCCGTTCACATCGGCGTTTCGGACGTCCACCGAAACGCACCCGGAGTTCGTCGCAGACAAGTGCATGGTCATAGTCCACGCTGGTGCTCCAAATCGAGCGACAATTTTGGACAAAGCCTCTCCAGCGGTAACTGATCGCGATATGATCGGTTTGCGTCCATGGGTGGTGCGAAGCTGATGGGCGCCAACTCACACTTCTGCGGGTGCTGTGTCGAAAGTTTGTGCTCGCGAGAAAGAGACGAGCATCTTCACACAGCTGTAGCAATCGCTCACTGTTATTATTACAAGAGCCTACACCATGTTGGCCGCCCAGATGCTCATCAGAAAACGGGTTTTCGACTTGGGCGTTTAGATCGCCAGCCAACATCACAGTATCCGTGCTTCTTCTGTAACGAAGGTGATCGTGAAGTTGCTGGTAGAAATCATCTTTCACCTAATCAGTGCTACAGTTTGTAGGGGCGTAGGCCGCAATGACAAACAGGTACCGTTTGTTCCCGCGCGACTTCGTAGTATGGGACGAACACCCTCATCTAACGACTAACATCCGCCTGTTGACTGGGATGCAATCGATCAGGGCAGTTTCAGCCCGGGGACTCAAAACAATACCGAAACCAGCTTGACCAACATTTGAAGCTGCATCATCGCCAGACAGGCTCAGTGAGGATGTGGCACCAGTGTCGCATGTGGGGGATCGCAGCATAAGCACGGAGCTCGAAGATTGCAGGCGGGTTTCTGATTAACAGCAGAAATTGATCCATAGGGTCTCTAATGTGCGGACAAGTGCTGCCTGTTGGTCAATCTGTAGCAAAGTGCGCACGTTGTGGCATGCCGGTCTTAGCGAGACGCGAGGACTCAAAAGGGAAACGAATGGACCGACATTGTCCGCTTGGTTGGACGTGGACTTGTCGACTGTGATTGTGAACGATTTCCTGCGACTGTGTATGGTTTGAAACTAGAAGACAAGCGACTATTGATGCAAGGTGGGGGAGGGCCAAGTATTTGGGGATTGAAAATGGGGGATAAAAGTAAAGTTGGAGCGGGACGATAAGGATGAAAAAGTGCAAGAAAGGGGATATGCAGACGGGAATGCTTGAGCAATAGCATCCAAACCTTTATCCACCCTGCTCGATGCAGCAGATAGGGCGCCGTTGATTATCCTCTTCGACGGCCAGGGCATCACGAAATTGTATCAGCAAGATCTGTGTAGCTTTCCAGAGTCTTAACCATCTATGGGGTCGGTATAATATTAAATTCTCAGTAAAAGGTAGTGTATAACGCTGCGGTAAGTATAGTGTTACCGTATGGATCGGAGGCATGGCCAGTTCGCAATTAAGATATTGAACGCTTGACCGTGTTTGACAACCGGTACTGGCGAAGTATTACTCACGTTTGGTTGGAACACCGGGTGTGCAATGCTGAAGTATGTCAGTTTGTTTTTGGCAAGAAGCCTTCTGGTGTCTCTCGAGTGTTTGCTGAGTTTTTGTCGCTTACGTTGGCTAGGCCATATCCTTAGTATGCCCTTTCATCGGCTTCCTCGGCGTGCATTGTACACCTTGGCTGCACCAAGTTGGGTGAAACCGCGAGGTGGCCGGTCTATGACATGGCATAGAAGCTTGAATAAAGTGACTGAGTGACTTATTAGGGCTGGTGCGTGCCGTCTTAGTGGATGGGAGCCTCGGGACGGTCCACATCAATGATTGGAGTCCCTGTCAAACATGGTGTAGTCACGAATTCATCTGGTTGTTAATTTCCGTTCCATTCTGGTTAGTCTAACACATTTCCTTGCTTTCTCTACATGCTGTTTGCACCCAAACCCACTATCTTACCGGTATTATTTATTGTTATTCTTACAGTGCGTCGTGACAACTGAATGCACCGCATTTTGGTGCTCGGATTATAGTTGGTCAACTAAAAGCCATCAGCAGTACGCCGGAACGTAATACCGACGCTTCGCTGCTGCGCAACCAGCACCGATCACACGCGGGCTAGGGATACTGCGTAAGTCGCCCTGCCCCTACGCATGCTCGAACATGTGCCGTCAGATTGCAAGACAAGCTCGTTACCTTTAGGCTACGGGCTGGAGTTGATCAACTGAACTGTGCTGAAATGATAGCGTTAAAACGCACGGGAATGGTTGCACTAACGACATCGAAGACGGAGTGGGAAAACAAAGAGAAAAGAAAATGACAGTAGCTTTTTAGGCTAGAATTTACCACATCTTATCTATTGATTTGCTACAGAGACTGACGCGTTACATGCTCTCCTTACATACTGTCGTCAAGTAGTATGAAGTATGCATGTTGCCCGCCCGCAACGCTGCTGTCCATGACAGGCTTCGTACTCGTTTAGACTCGTCAGATGCAGATAGACTGCGACTCGAACTGCGTACGTTACGACTACCAGCCAAAGCCACGGACAAATCTTGTCACGGCAGTTACTGGGTAAGTGGGCTATATCGAAGCTCTGCTTGTATGGATTACGAGTTGCAATGCTAGTACATGAAAATTACAAGCGAGTGCAATATCAATCGTGGAGTGCATGTTCTGGCTGTCAAAACCATTGAATTGTTTTAGGTGTGCACATTGAGCTTGTTGTCTGCTGTTTATTTCGAAGTGAATCGCGGAACATGTCTGGACTGTTTGGTGCTACCTACTCACACAACTGGCATTCAAAGTACTTTTACTTGTGATCAGGTTTTTTAAAACCAAAGGCTTTTGTTGCGAACCGTCATCGTTCTCTTGCCTAGGCCTGGGCAAGCTGACTGTATTCTGCCAACGCAATTCAATGACCTCATCTTCAAAAAACTTATTGATTGTCTGGCCTTCGCAGAGGGTAATCAACGGCGCCCTATCTGCTGCATCGAGCTGGGTGGATAGAAGTACGAATGCTACCGCTTAGGCCTTCCCGTCTTCTTATTCCCCATCGTGTGCTTTTTCATTCTCATCGTTCCTATCCAACCTCACTTTTATCCCGTTTTAACCCCCCAATTCTTGGCACCCCACCATTTTGCTTTGATATTCGTTTGTCTTCCAGTTTACAGCCACTCGCAATCCTAGGTCCTCGATCATTTTTAGTCGAGATATCCATGTTTAACTAAGCGGACATCTTCAGTTCTGTTGTTTCTATTTCGAGCGTCTCATCCTCGCTTAGACTCGTGTTTCAACGTTCACACTTCGTGGCAGATTGGCCAACAGGTAGCACCTGCCCAAACACTGGCGACCCTATCGATCTATATTTCTGTTTATTAGTAACCCGCCTGAAATATTCGAGTTCTGTGATTACCCTGCGATCCCTCACATGGGACACTGACGGCACTTTCTTATTACGCTTATCCGGAAATGACGCAGCTTCAAATGCCTTTCAAACCGATGTGGGCATTGCCCTGACTTCCGAGACTGAAGCTTCCCTGATCGATCGGATCCCGATGAATAGCCATAGTCAGATTGGCTGACTCTAACATCTACCAAGTCGTGCGCGGACAAGCGGCATCTGTTTCTCATTCCGGCCTGCGCTTCCATAGATTGTAGCGCTGACTCGGTGAAGATGCCTTCTACCACCAATTGAACGAGCACCTTCGTTACAGAATAATGTGGATACTACGATGCCCGCTGATGATCTGAACGTCCAGGTTGGGGAACTTTGCTGGTGAGCTGCCAACTTGGTGTAAGCTCCCGTAATGATAATAGTGATCGGTTGCTACAACCGTGTGGAGACGCTCGTCGATTTCTCCTGAGCACTAACTTCCGACCCAGCACCGACCGGAGGGTGACATGGCGACGACCAATGTCGGACCGGCCATGGACGCAAATCTACCACCTCACAAACTGTTACTTTAGGAGAGGCAGTGTCCAAAACTGTCGCTCGATTTGAAGCACGAGCGTGGACTCCGATCACGCACTTGAATGTGCCACCTGCGGGTGCGTTTTGGCAGATGTTCGCACCTATGCTGTGAGTGCATAGATACTTGCCAGCTGGCGAAGCCAGCTATTCTGAAAGCATATCAAAGTACGCTGACATCCGAGCTGAGTAAGCACTCATTGAACACAGTTAAAAGGTCACTGGTGGCCTATCCGCCAAGCGTTATTAGTAGCAAGCAAATCTTCATGTGTCAAATCAAATTGCCAAACTGGACATTAGGTATCTACGCAGTCTATGGAACTTCTGGATGCTCACAGACACATTCCGTCTGGAAGCGAATATAACGTGACTCTCGAAGTTTTCAGGTCAAAGCTGCATATGGCCTGAACAGAGACCGCGAAACCTGTCTCTGTGCATCGATGATGAAAACCGACACTGTCATTGATAACTATCATAAGCTATTCCGTCTGATACAGAAAACCGGTAGCAAAAGACCTGGTGTTAGCGAGACTATATGCGACGGCTTGGATCGTTGGGCTGAACACTTTGGAAAGAGGTTTAATCAGCCAGAATCATCATCGTCCCTTACTTTGATCGCTCTTCTCTCTGGGCTCTCCCACTCTATCCGTCTTCAGGCACAGAACTAGAACTTGAGATCAGACTGGTACAACCGAAAAATGCCGCAGAGGCAGCTATACTTCTTCGTCTTATTCAGATTTGAAAGACAAGCTCTTGTGGA